GGGGGGGCCCGCGCGCCCGCGGCCGCGGAAGGAGGTCCGGCACCGCCGCGGGCCCCGGAAAGCTGGGGTGACGCTCTGCGCGGGCAAGGGTTCTTCCGCCGGCCTCGCCCGCGTCTCCGCCCGGGCGTTGGGACGACCTTGGCGGTGGTCTCGCGTGAGTTTGGCGTGTGCTGGCGCGGCCGGTGGCCCGGGGCCCGGTGGATGGGGGGCGAACGACGTATTGCACATTATTATTATTGTTGTTGTTGGCTCTCGCGCTTCCCTATGCTCTTTGCCGGTCGCGGTTTTGCGGTGGTTGCGATCGGATATTGTGGGTGTTTTGTTTTTATTGTTGCGCTTTTTTTTATTGGGAAGGTTTTTTTTTGAAATTCTTGAAGTGTGCACAAGACACGAAATGGCGATTATATCTTCGTTTGTTTCGTTTCAGCGTATCCTTGTTGCAGAGGACCATGTTACTTCTCCGATGAGGCCAGTGGTTAATGTAATGTTGGAGCGTCTTCCAAGTTACGATACAAAGGTAAGCTACCAGTATGAGGCGAACGTGTACCATTTTTTGATTGAAAATGAAATTGTGTATTGTTGTGTTTCAGGGAATCAATACCAAAATCGCACCGTGTTTGGTTTCCTGATGCAGGTTCGGGATTCATTTAAAAGTCAATTTGCTGGAAATGTGAGTAGGTATCCGCGCTCTTCTGAAATGACGCCTGCTGTTTGTGGTAAGTTCCGCACCACCCTTGCTGACCTGACGCGTACCTTCAACGAAAACCCCCAGGCTGACAAAATCGGGAAAATAAATGAGCAACTTGATAGCACAAAACAAGTTATGTTGGAGAATCTTGATAGATTGATTGATCGGGGCGAGCGTATTGAAAGCCTATGTGATAAAACAGAGCAGCTGCGGGATGAGGCACAAGGATTCCATTCCAATACCAGGGCCTTAAAGAGGAAAATGCTAATCAGGAACATTAAACTTGCAATCGCGCTTATTCTTGTACTGGGCCTTGTTGGCCTAATTAT